CCATCTTCTAAATCCCAAAAAAACAGGATTGAGAAGACGGGGGAAAGGTCGGGGGGGGGGGAGATGGGGGTCAAAATTGTGTGAAATTGACCAATACGACGGGGGGGGGGGACGGAAGAGCATCAGCGGCACAACTGCTTGTGGGGAATCGGTCCCTGTCTGTGCAAATACTTCTCTGCCCGCTGAATGTAGCACAACAAAACCGTTAGGCTCTTGAGAGCCGGTGTGGTGTAGTAGTTAGAGTATAGGAGACCGGGGCTCAGATCCCCACTCTGGGAGACCCAGGTTCAAATTCCCACTCTGCCGTGGAACCTTCGGCCAGGCACACACTCTCAGCCCAACCTACCTCACAGGGTTGTTGTTGTTGTGAAGCTAAAATGGAGGAGAGGAGAATGACGGGGAGAAAAATGGGGTATAGATAAAGGAAATAAATTAATTTAGGGCTCTTCTCCTGCCTCGCTGCTTCCCACTGCTAGGGCCAGCGGCATATGGGCTCCCCCCCATGATGGGGCCGAAGGTAGTCAACAAGAGCACCGCCCCCAACTACTCCATTTATGGTCGCAGTATGATCGGCAGCTTCTACGAGGATCTCAGCAAGGTAAGCACACCTGTCAGGTTGGAACGGAGGCCAACATCCCCCGCCCTGGCCTAGGAATTGCCTGTGTTGAATTCACGACGAAAGGGAAGCATAGAAAATCAGGGTAGATTGGTGCAGTGGGTTAAGTGCACGGACTCTATTCTGGGGGAACCGGGTTTGATTCCCCACTCCTCTGCTTGCACCTGCTGAATGACCTTGGGCAAGCCATAGTTCTGTCGGAGCTGTTCTCAAAGGAGCAGTCCTGAAAACAGCTCTCTCGGCCCCGCCTGCCTCACAAGGGCGTCTGTGGTGGGGAGTGGAAGGGAAAGGAGTTTGTGAGCCGCTCTGAGACACCTTTGGGTAGTGAAGGGCGGGGTATCAATCCAATCTCTTCTTCTCTTCTTAAGAGACCACCTTGTGAAATAACAACAGAGCTATGTAATAATATCAGATTATAATACAGCATCCGCAAAGCAATAAAGATGCTTGGAGCAGCTGCATTTTGCCACTGGCTTTCAAATTCTGTATGTAAAGCCTAGTCTAAGACCTCCCTCCCTCCCTCCCTCCCTCCCTTCCTGTTTGGTGCAGTGGTTGAGTGTGCGGACTCTGGGAGAACCGGGTTTGGTTCCCCACTCTTCCACATGCAGCTGCTGGCATGACCTTGAGACAGTCGCAAGTTCTCTCAGAGCTGTTCTCTCAAGAGCTGTCCTCGAAAGATCTCTCTCAGCTCCACCCACCTCACAGGGGTGTCTGTTGTGGGGAGGGGAAGGGAAAGGAGATTGTAAGATGCTCTGAGACTCCAAGTGAAGGGCCATGGGGTATAAATCCCATCTCTACACCAGACTGAAGGAACAGCTCAGAGGAGGGATGAAGGAGGTCTCACCTTGGCGTTGGTGGGGGAGGAGACACACCGGGCGAATAGAGTTCCCAGACCCCCTCCAGGGGCAGGGGATCCCCCACTTTGGGGCCTCACTCCCCAGCGCCATTCAGCCGGCCGCTGGGGGGACTTAACCAGGTGCAAACTGAGTCCTGGGCCTCTGTTGCTGGCGATGCCTTGACATCACTTCCTGTGCTCACAGGAAGTGATGCCATCTCGTTACTGGCAACGGGATGACATCACTTCCTGTGAGTGCCGTAAGTGACAGGGCCTGGGTCTCCGTTGCCCGGGGGAACCTGGCAAGCCTACAGGGGGAGGAAGCGGGTCTTCTGCCGGTGACGCTTTGGCCTCCTTCCACGACAGACGCCCGGGCCCTGCAACTACCGCCTGGTGGATCCCAGCATCTACAAGAACCGCCCGCCGCATTACAGCATGCTGGCCCGCAATATGCCTCCGGGGGACAATACTACGAAACCAGGTCCAGGAGCGTACAGCCCGGAGAAGGTGAGGGGCCTGTGGGTGCCTGAGGGGTCCGCTCTGCAGGGGGGATGTGCCTCATGGGTGGGGTGGGGGTGGAGTGTCTCCCAGTCCATTCCATTAAGTGCTCCCGCCCCTTTTATTTTATTGACAAAATCTGCGTCCCGCTTTTCTGCCCTCGCAAGGTGGCCAGCAACATTTGAGGGCCATTAAAATCAAGCACACGCCTTTAAAATAAATTAACAACAGTGCTACGATGCACGCGAAGACATAAAGCAGCCATTAGAAGGCCGGCCAGCAAGAAGGGATCGCTAGAGGGAATGCGAAATGAAACCGGAAAAAAGTCTTCACCCGCTGGTGGAAGGGGACAGACGCCTCTCCCTGGGATGGGGGAGAGTTCCAGAGCTTTGGGGCCACCACCGAGAAGACCCTCTGCTGGCTGGCCACCAGTCTAATCTCAGAAGGCGGGACCTCCCTCCCTTGAATATCGCCATCGTGGTTGGGTGGGTGCAGAAGGGAGTAGGCGGTCCTTCAGGTATGTCGGTCCCAAACCATATTGGAGGAATCGGCTGTCAACCCAAAGCTCAGCCTATGTGTGCTGAGGACCCAGGGGTCATTTCATAGAAAAAGAGGTGCAGGAGCTCATTAGCATAAATCATTACCATAACTTATTTGCATATGCCACACCCCCTGACATCACCAAAGTGTGTCAGAAGGCAACACCAACTGCTCAGGCTCCACTGGACTCTTTTGGATGGCTAGCTATTGGGGGGGGGGGGATGTGCAGATCTGTCCCCGCAGAGGAGGGTGAGCTTGTACCTGAATAAAACTTGGTCTTAAAGCTGCGGTGGCTCAAGTGGTTAAGACACTGAACTGCAGGCTGTGGAAGGTCGGTCGTTCAGCAGTTCGAGACCCGAGTGTGCCACAGGACTCTAGTTCCAGCTCCTGCCAACCTAGCAGTGCGAAAGCAAGAAATTGCAAGTAGATAAATAGGTACCACTTCGGTGGGAAGGGAACAGCGTTCCGTGCACCTTGGTGTTTAGTCATGCCAGCCACATGACCACGGAAACGTCTTCGGACAGTGCTGGCTCTTCGGCTTTGAAACGGAGATGACCACCGCATCCCTAGAGTCGGATTCGACTGGCTTTCGAGCAAGGGAACCTTTACCTTTTTACCTTAAAGGTGCCACTGGACTGTTTTGGACCAGGGGCCGGGGGAGGGGGCTCTGCAACTTATCTGGCTGCTTCTTGCTCTGACTGGGTCTTAAAGGTTCCACTGGACTGTTTTGGATTGCTAGCCATTGGGGGGGGGCGTGCAGTTCTCAGAGAGGAAGCTTGTATCTGAATAAAACTTGGTCTTAAAGGTGCACCTGGGCTGTTTTGGATTGCTAGCTATTGGGGGGGGACGTGCAGATCTGCCCTCACAGAGGAGGGAGAGCTTGTACCTGAAGGCGGGGGGGGGGCTCTGCAGCTTACCTGGCTGCTTCTTGCTCCTTGTGGCCCAACTGAGGGCTGCTGGGAGCAGGGGGTGGGGCTTGTTGCACGTGCCCGCCCCCTGGGCTCTTTACTGCCGGAGCTCCGCTCCTGTGCGCTCCTGCAGGAAATGAACCCTGTGAGGACCCACAATGCACTGGCCCAGCCCGGACACACCCTCCTTCCTCCCCGTGCTGAGCTCACAGTGAAGCCTTTAACCTTCGTGACGTGGGCGCCCCTTCCACGTGGCTTCGTCCACTGGAGGAACCTTTTGGTTCTGGGAAGCCGATGGGCAGGCCCAGTTCCACACTTGCCTCTGACTGGGCTTTACTGGGGGTGAATTGCTTCCGAGGGCCGGTCTGGGCAGTCCTGGAATTGCTGCTGGAGTGGCACGGGAAGAAGACAGGGGGACAAAGCCTCCGATGGGGGTGGGCGGGCGGACTGAGAGTCTTCCCCATCTGCTTCGGTCATCTGTCAGGTTGAAATGGAGCCCTGATTAGTCCCATTAGTGGCGTGTGGCACAGAGACTCTTGATTGGTTCGTAGGATCACAGAATCATAGAGTTGGAAGGGACCTCCAGGGTTTGCATCTTTGAACTGGGGAGGACAACTCAAGCGTGTGTCTGACATGCCTGGGGGGAAAGTGAAGCGTCCGTAGGAGAAGCAGTCTGTTTTGCCCTTGGGTCAGAAGAGCCACTGGTGTTACGTCCGGCCTCCCCTCTCAGCATCCCTGTCCTTTCTCCTCTCCCCCGCAGTACGCCCAGCAGCGTGGCCTGACCTTCGGGATCCGCCATTCGGACTACGTGGCTCCTCTCATCGTGGACGTGGCAGAGTGAACCGGCTGAGTCGGCAGGGACGAGCGAGACAAGAAATGTTGATTTGGGAATACTTTGCTTTTCTCCACTCTCTGTGTCGTTGCCGTGTCGGCGCCCGGGGGGGGGCTTCTCAGAACCGGTTCTCTCCCTTCCCACCCCGACCCCCCTTGGGAGACAAGACTAAATTCTCCGGCTCAATTGCCCCGTGGATACCTGGCTGAGGACGGCAGCCGGGGAAGGTGGGCGAGATGAATGCGGGGCTGGATTCGCCCTGGCTGCCCCGTGAGAGCTGGAATCAACTGGCTATTGAGTGGAGTTAATGGAGGCTAAGAACAATCGCCTCACGCCCCATAGGCAGTGTTCCCTCTAAGCTGGGTTAGTGTGAGCTAGCTCACAGATTTCTAGCCTCCGGCGCGCACATTTTTGACTTAGCTCAGGGAGGAGGGCTCCAGAGTGGTGTTCCCTCTAAGCTGGGTTCGTGCGAGCTAGCTCACAGATTTCTAGCCTCCGGCTCACCTGTTTTTGACTTAGCTCAGGGAGGAGGGCTCCAGAGTGGTGTTCCCTCTAAGCTGGGTTCGTGCGAGCTAGCTCACAGATTTCTAGCCTCCGGCTCACACATTTTGGTCTTAGCTCAGGGAGGAGGGCTCCACTGTTCTGGACAGGTCAAGATGGGTCGCCGTGTTAGTCTGTCTGTAGCAGTAGAAGAGAGCCAGAGTCCGGGAGCACTTTAAAGACTAACTAAATTGGTGGCAGGGGAGGAGCTTTTGTGAGTCATTGCTCACTTCGTCAGATGTGAAGAAGTGGGTCCTAGAAAAGAGCAAGAGTCCAGGAGCATCGTAAAGACTAACAATGGCCCCGGTCACACGGGGGATTTGCCGCCCTAAAGGCATGAATGTCAGGCGGGTTTTTGGGGCGCGATCACACCACAACATCTGGGAAGCATAGCGCACCCGTGGCCAACCCGTGGCATCCTGCCAAAGATGCGCAGTAAAAAAGTACCTCGGAAAGGGGACTAGTATCTGGAAAATGCGGCGCAGGGGCGGGCATCTGATCGCAGGAGCGCTAGTATCCCGTGGGATCCGGCGCCTGTCCACATCCAGTCACAAACCAGATGTTTTTCATAAGCGCATGCACACAAACACATAACTGAAAGCAGTGTTGCTCCGCGGAACTGCGCATGCACACAAATGCGAAACGCTTGCCGCGCCGCTTCTTTGCCACGCTCCAGCATCGCCGTGTGATCGCAAGCTAACAGCCTAAGCACGGAGACTCGGGGGACCGTGTGATCGGGCTTGTTGTTGTTGTTCAGTCGCACAGTCGAGTCCGACTCTTTGCGACCCCATGAACCAGATCATGCCAGGCCCTCCTGTCTTCCGCCGTCCCGTGTTATCGGGCTACCGGTCTTTATTTTGCTTCGGGGCGAACAGCCACGTCTCCCCCCCACGTTATCTGGCCCGTGTGACCGGGACCAACATTCGTGGGAGGGAAAGTGCTTTTGTGAGTCACGGCTCACCTCTTCAGCTCTGCAGAAGTGAGCAGTGACGCCTGAAAACTCCTACCCTGCCACCAATTTTGTTAAGTCTTCAAGGTGCTCCTGGACTCTGGCTCCTTTCTACTGTTCCGGACAGGCTCCGTTGTGCTCTACGGACTCTCTGCCAGGGGTCCACGGGAACCATTCCCCCTTCTGTGCGGAAAGGGGCTGGGGAGCCCCGTTGTGGGACTTCCAACACTCAGGCCAGCGGCTCTTTTTTCCCTGTGTATTCTGGTGCTGTACCTGCCCCAGTCTCCCAAGGTCGCGCACGGCTTCTCCGCATTGCCCTTTGTTTGATTAAAGAGACGTTAAAGAGGTCTGCAAAGGTGGTGTGTTCCTGGGAGGTCATTGGCACGCTTTCTTTCCGGCATCCTGATATTTTATATTTATTTATTTATTTATTTATTTATAAGTTCAATTTATAGCCCGCCCTCCCCGCAACGCGGGCTCAGGGCGGCTCACAATTAGGCATAAGCCAGCGCATAAAGCACATATACAGTGAAGTCCTCTCCTTTCCTCTCTCCCCGTCCTCTGCTTCTTGTGGGTCCGCAGGACTCCTCCGGGCCCCATGGTGAACACTGCGCCTGCATCAGCCGGTCAGGGACAGTGCCTTCTTTGTGCCAGAATGAGGTCCGGTGCCTTCTTTGTGCCAGAATGAGGTCCGGTGCCAACTTGGTTTGTGCAACACAGCGGGGGGGGGGATAACTGCAGAGTGCAGGGGGTTGGACTAGATGACCTGTAAGGTCCCTTCCAACTCTTAGCATTCTATGATTTTCTGATGATTCTAAGGTAGCCACTGTGAGCAGTCCTCATTGCAGGGCTGTTAAAGGCGCAGGAGCAGAGCGCAGAAAGGAAGTTGGCGACCCCGCCTTACCGTGTGTCAGCAGGTGAGGTGGCTCTCGTGAAAGACGTGGAGGTCATCTCCAGGCATTCATTCGTTATCTTGATCTGCCACTGTAGGAGCTTGCTTGAACTCGCTCCCGATTCTGTACACAGAAAGGCTGCCAGAATTCCTAGCAGCCTCTTTTGCCAAATTGTGAAGACCTGCTTGATACGTAGACATCAGCTTCTGAGGATGTGGTTCCTAGAGGTTGCCGACTCTGGGCTGGGAACAGTGTTCCCTCTAAGCTGCGTTGGTGTGAGCTAGCTCACAGTTTTTTAGCCTCTGGCTGACACATTCTTGTCTCAGCTCACGAAGGAGGGCTCCCGAGCAACCTAATTGATGCAGCGGCCAAATCGCTCGCTCACAATTTTAATGCCAGGAGCTCACAAAGTAGAATTTTTGCTCACAAGACTCCAGAGCTTAGAGAAAGCATTGGCCGGGTCCAAACCACTGTTCTTGTGCCAGCTGCTCCAAAGTGCGGTGCCCCCAGGACAATCTCTGAGGCAGATGCTGGGGCCAGGCTGCACCCCAAAACAATCTTTTGAATGTTCCCTCTAAGCCGTGGAGTCCTGTGAGCAAAAATTCTACTTGGTGAGCTCCTGGCATTCAAGTTGTGAGTGAGTGATTTGGCTACTGCATACATTAGCTTGCTCTGGAGCCATCCTTCCTGAGCTGAGACAAAAAATGTGTGAGCCAGAGGCTACAAAACCGTGCGCTAACTCACACTAACTCAGCTTAGAGGGAACACTGCTTTTGACCACCCCAACTGACATCTCACCACACTCTGGAGACTTTCTCCTGCAAGATGACATACAGTGATGCCCGGTCCAAACACTGGTTCTGATGTCACGAGCTTCTATTCAGAGTGCCTTCCAGAGGCCTGCATTTCAAAGAAGAGTTGAATAAAGGGCCCTTTGTACCCAAAATGAGGGCTGGTTCCAGCGCCATGACCTTCTATTTGGAGTGCCTCCCAGAAGATTTGAATAAGGAAAGGGGGGAACCTTTTCCACTGCACAGAGAACCCCCCCCAATCTCAAACTTCAATAAAACAGCACCTAATTTATACATGTAGACTGGTACCAGAGCTCGCAACACACCCTGATGCCAACTTTGATGCCGCATACACCCAGACAACACAATCACTGGACCTAACAACATCAACTATGCCATCTCAGGCTTATTCACCTGCTCATCTTCTAACGGTGTATTTGTCATCAAATGTCAACAATGCCCTTCAGTTCTCTATATAATAGCCACTGATGGACATCAGCTCCGTATGTTGTTCCAATTCATAACAACATAAGAGAAGCCAACATTGGGTCAGGCCAATGGCCCATCCAGTCCATCACTCTCTGTCACACAATGGCCAAAAACACCAGGTGCCCTCAGGAGGTCCAGCAGTGGGGCCAGGACACCAGAAGCCCTCCCACTGTTACTCCCCCCCAAGCACCAGGAAGACAGAGCATCCCTTGCCCCAGACTGAGAGTTCTTATCTATACCTTGTGGCTAAGAGCCACTGAGGGACCTCTGCTCCATATAAGAACATAAGAGAAGCCAATGTTGGGTCAGGACAATGGCCCATCCAGTCCATCACTCTCTGTCACACAATGGCCAAAAACACCAGGTGCCCTCAGGAGGTCCAGCAGTGGGGCCAGGACACCAGAAGCCCTCCCACTGTTACTCCCCCCCAAGCACCAGGAAGACAGAGCATCCCTTGCCCCAGACTGAGAGTTCTTATCTATACCTTGTGGCTAAGAGCCACTGAGGGACCTCTGCTCCATATAAGAACATAAGAGAAGCCAATGTTGGGTCAGGCCAATGGCCCATCCAGTCCATCACTCTCTGTCACACAGTGGCCAAAAACACCAGGTGCTATCAGGAGGTCCACCAGTGGGGCCAGGACATTAGAAGCCCTCCTCCCTGAGCTGAGACAAAAATGTGTGAGCTAGAGACTAAAAAACTGTGAGCTAGCTCACACTAACTCAGCTTAGAGGGAACACTGGCCATAGGTGATGGGAAAGACCCCTGCCTGAGACCCTGGAGAGAGCCACTGCCATGGTGAGTAGACAATCCTGACCTAGATAGACCAAGGGTGTGATTCAGTAGGAGGCAGCTTCAGGAGTTCTTCTCTGCAGGGAATCTGTGCACCTCTTTTTTCTCTGCAGTGCAAACTCAGTGGAAAAGTCGCATAAAAGACCTCGCTCATCCACACTGATCAGACATTTCCCTGGCGTTGCCAACCTCCATGTGGAGCCCGGGGATCTCCCCGAATGAGGACGTTTTTCCGCATAACAGAGAGCAGTTCCCCTGGATAAAATGCTTTGGGAAGGTAGACTCTATAGCAGGAGTGGCCGAACTTGCTCAGCGTAAGAGCCCACAGAGAGTAAACGACAGATGTTTGAGAGCCGCAAGACATGAACGAATATCACACGGACGTTTTTATTTTTAAAATGTGCCAATTTGCTTTTTATCAACATTAAACAAGGCTGCCAAAAATAAAAACAAGAGGGGTAAAAACAGATACTGATGATGATATTTAATTGTCCAATTATATTTGTTTGTTAATTATATTTGTTTGTCAAAGAGGGAGAGAAAAAGAGAGAGGTGGAAAGAGAGAGAGAGAGAGAAAGCAAATAGATGGGAGGAAGTGGGAAGGAAAGGAGGGAGACAGAGACAGACAGACAGACAGAAAGTAAGAAAGAGAGAGAGAGAGAGAGAAAGAAGGAAAGAAAGAGAGAAAGAGAGAGAGAGAGAAGGAAAGAAGGAAGGAAAGAAAGAAAGAAAGAGAGAGAAAGAAAGAAGGAAAGAGAGAGAGAGAGAGAGAGAAAGAGAGAGAGAGAGAAAGAAAGAAAGAAAGAAAGAAAGAAAGAAAGAAAGAAAGAAAGAAAGAAAGAAAGAAAGAAAGAAAGAAAGAAAGAGTATGCCTCCCCTTCGCTTCCCCAGCCGCCCTGCCGGGAGCCACACAATATGTGTAAAAGAGCCACATGTGGCTCCTGAGCCACAGTTTGGCCACCCCTGGCCTAGAGCATCATGCCCTGCTGAGATCCCTCCCTCAGGCTCCAACCCAAACGTCTCCAGGAGTTTCCCAACCCAGACAACCTGGTGAGCCCTGCCCGGTCCCGAGGTAGAGGGCAGTCAAGGAAAGTCTCTGCCAGGACCGACCGGTTTCGAATCAGCTGGGCGGTGGCTCGGTGCCCCCAAGTTCTGCTCTTGTTCCGGCCTCTCCGGTCTCCCCATCGACCCAGCCTCTTTCAGAGGCGTCTGGGGAAAGATGGTCTTTGCCACCTTGGAGCGGGGAGGAAAGGGGTCTCCCAGGATCAGTGCCGCCTGCAGGGCGCTTCGGTCCCCGTCACTCAGTTTGGGGCTTCCGTGATGTATCCGGAGCCACGGAGACCCTGCCGGGGAAGGGGAGGGGAAAATCATTCAGCTACAATGCACAGCGTAGTCTCCAGTCCCCCCTGTCACGACATTGGGGTGTGCCCCCAATATTTATTTGGCAGAGCTGGCTTGGGATATAAGGGAATTTGGGTAGTGTTCCAATAGAAAAATGAATCCCTTTTTGCCAGCGTGGTTCTAGCCACTGGATTTAATGATAAACCTAGGCCAGTGGTGGCGAACCTATGGCACAGGTGCCGGAGGTGTTACTCAGAGCCCTCTCTGTGGGCATGCGTGCCATCGCCCCAGCCAGGCCCAGACTATCATTAAAGTGTGGAATTCTCTGCCAAATAATTTTAAGTAAATGAAAGCATTTGGGATTGCTTTCCTTACTTTGTTTGGATCATCTTAAGTCAATGTATGAGTTGTTAGTAGGGGAAAGGTGCGTATACTGAAACATGCTAGTAGGGGGAAGGTGTGTATACTGAAACAAAGACAAAATAAGAAACCTAACTCACTGTCTTTGTCCCCCCTGGGATGGCCGGCGGGGCAACCAGGCAATGGGATTCCCCCACCCCACAAACCCCTGCTCAGGGGTCATTCCGTAGAAAAAGAGGTGCAGGAGCTCATTAGCATAACTCATTTGCATATGCCACGTCCCCTGACATCACCGGAAGTGTGTCAGAAGGCAACACCCACCGCTCAGGCTCCACTGGACCATTTTGGATTGTTAGCTATGGGGGGGGGGGGGACCGAGGAGTCTCCT